CTGTTATTATAACTTGAAATTGACATACATGGGAGATTATTCTGAATTGTACTTGAAGATGAAAGGGATAACTTGTATAACTTTTGTGCAGCGATAGGTAGTAAATAGTTAAAATCAATGGAGTTATCAATTGTTAGATATTTTCTTATGGAAAGAGACAACTTAAATTTACTTCTTTTATTTACTTGAGTTTAGTTTGAATTTCAGCATTAACTTAATTCCACAAGTAAGCTATTGATCAAGTTATCAATTAATTAAATAATTAAATGAGGTCTAAAGAGAAAACAAATTTACATTTCCTAACTGGTCTATACCACGAGCCTAATTCTCTTGAATATTGAAATACTGCTTGTTGCTTTTTGCTAATATATCATGATGGGTAAAATATAAATGTTAAGACATAAGATCAAAAATGTTTCCTCAGGAATAGTTCCAACAGGATGGTAGGGGCATTTGCAATTACTGAAATCAGACATTTATTTTTATTTATAAAATCTAGAGGTCTTCATAAAATAGGACAAGGAATGAGACTATATAGGAGGGAAAGCAGGAAACTAAGGGAATACTTCTTTTGGTGGGGTAGATGAGAAATGGGATTGTCAAAAAATTATGCAGTTCATTCTATTTCAAGCTAAAATGTGGATGGGAAAGAGTGCAGGAATAAAATTATGGATAGCAGTTTTGAGCTTCAATTTTCTGAGTCTTTTAGTTCAGGTATTTACTGTAACTCAAATTTAAAATATAATTTATCATTATTTAACTAATTCATATCCTCACAATTTAAATGAAATAGAATTAATTTTTCCTTATTAATAATTAACTAAATATATTAATAGTTTCCTATTCATTTTCATTTCTCTAGTTGTGTAGGAATTCATGACATTTTGTGTGTATTCATACCAGATTAAAAATTGGTGGGTGCTGCAGCGATCCGGGGGGGGGGGGGGGGTAATGGCCACAGGTGCATTTGGGGGCGATGAATAGCGAGGCAGTGAAAGCATAAAAGAAAGAGAAGATTTAGGAAAATTGATTTCCAGGGGGTATGCCAAATAAGTTTGGGAACCACTGATTTAAAGGTATACTTTGGTATCCAGTGCCAACAGTATTGGCACTTCCTTTTCTTTTCTTTGTAACCATCAATTGAGCCAAACGTCTGCTCCTGGTTATTTATTTTCTTATTTATTTATTTATTTCTGGTACTTTTACCCCGCCCTTCTCAACCCCCGGAGGGGGACTCAGGGCGGCTTACAAAAAAAAAGGCAGAATTCGATGGTTACAAGTAGAACAACTTGGAGCAGTAGAAAAACGTCTAATGTTTTGGCAAGACCATGAAGTCAGATGTTGATTTTTCACAAGAATATAAAAGGATATAGAGAGGAGAGGAAATTATTTATGGATAAATAGTGGAATCAGGCAGAAGTGATAGATCCTGTCTATCATCCTAATCTACCAAAAAATAAAGAACAATGCAGCAAATGTAACTGAATGAACATGTACAAATGGTTGGAATTAAAATTGAGAACCAGTAGGGTGTAGTGATTGGCGTGTCGGACTATGACTCTGGTGACCAGAGTTTGAATCTGCATTCAGCCATGGAGGCCTGTTGGGTGGCCTTGGGCAAACCATACTCTCTCAACCTCAGAGGAAGGCAAAGTCCCTATGAACAAATCTTGGCAAGAAAACCCTGAGATAGATTCATTAGGACCATGAAAAACAGCTCAATGACACACATCATCAACAAGGGCAAACTTGGATTGTGTAGCCTCGTAGCACATAAAACATTTTACAATGCATCTGGTTTATCTGTGTTTACTCCTTGCTAATTAGAATTTCACTTCTTTATATTTTAAAGAAGTTGCATCATGTGTACTGTTGAATTGCATGTGAAAGATCCAATATTACTTCTTTCCATGTACCCTGGATTAACCTCACCAGGTTTCTAGTGACTGGACAACAAAAGTATGCTGAAGCATATGCTTATTTGCAATGTTCAAATTAAGCTTTAAGCATTTGTCTTCAATAACTAATTATTTGGCACCACTGGTGTGACACTTCATGATACTCAATTTAGACATATCAAGAAGAAATTAAAAACTTTGGAATCCTTATTGTATTGAAGTCAGTGACAACTATGTCATTCTATTGTTGAAACATTACAGTGGTCATTTGTACTCCTCTTAACATCATCCATCTGGGAAACATATTTGTATTGCTAAAATCAAAATGAATTGAAATAATATGGTGAAAATTATTTTGTAAAATGGTGACGAATAAACAATACTAGCACAATTTGATATATAAAATCACAGAACTGGAGACCTGGCCCCCAAAGAATGCATTATCATTATCCAGTTTGCTTTTGGCTTTTCAGACAATGGTCTGAGTTATTTACAATGCACACCTTCTCAGTGAAGCAAACACAATGTGCTATACCACTAACACATGCAATATATAGTGCCTCTTGTCGACTTACATTAGAATGCACACATTTTAATGCTGTTCAAAGGTGACAGCACATCTTTGGGGAGACATTGGCATCCAGAATGCATATCATATGGGCACAGATTTTTTAACAAGATGTAATAATAGAAAAGAAAAAAACCCAGATATTCTTAGTCTCTGGTTATTTCTTCCTTTAACTGTAATTTGTAAGATTTCTATACTGTGAAATTATAGAGGGAAAGACAGAAAAAAAAGAAAGGGGTGATGGTATTGTACACTATAATATAGGTTGTTGTAAGTACATTTTTAGGTATCGGAAAGTGAGAATATAAAGCTTGGTTTAAATACCTCTCCGTGATTACATACCAAAAATATAATCCTGCATTGGATTTTTTAAAAGATCTATACCAAGGAATTAAAGTAAGAATTTCACTGGGAAATTCATTATCGGGATATTATATAATTAGTTGCTCTCCCTGGCAATTTCATATAGCAGCAATTAAATTAAACCCTTTATTTTATTTGATATATGCTAGTGTACCATCTGACTGTAGAGGACAAGATTTCTCAGCCTTATTTTGAATAAAATGCTTTTAAAAGTATGTGTGTGTATAATTCTCTTCTCTTCCAATAACTATTTAGGTTTAAAAATGCATTGGCTTTGTGAAATCCTGTATATTATTTGTGCTGACATTCTGAATTGAATACTTCCAACAGTATAAGTAAAATTATTTTTCTAAGTAATTCTGCAATATTTAAACAATGATAAATATTAGTGAACATCCTTATGTTGTGTGATGTTGTGCCTTTGTGTAGTATAACATCCAGTTCGCATATGGAATATTTTAATGACAATGACAATCAAGGCAGAAAGCACTGGAAATAGCTTTGCGTACCCCTGCAATACAATCTAGTACGTGCTTACGTTGTGTGCAGCAGTGCAAACTAAATTTGTTCTGTCTTAGCAGACAATATAAAAATGTCCTGTAATTATTATTTTTGTCATACAAGCCCAGTTTATGATAAGTCCTTATAAGTCAGTCCTGTAATCTGAATAATATATATATTATAAATGGTTGAGAGAAGTTCAACAAACGTCAGTGTTTTTTTCAGTTTTAAGTTTTTTATACATTGTAGTTTGCTTACTTACTGTGTCCTGATGAAAAGACTGTTTTTTAAACTATATATATTACTGCAGAGATATAATTATATGTCCTAAATACAGAACATTTTTAAAAGTCAGAACAATTTTTGCTGCACGCATACTAAAACTGTACATGATTTAAAATAAATAAATAAATAAATAAAATATGACCATGCTATCTTACAATAAAGTACACATACACATATCCTGAATCCAAAATCCATCTGTAGTCAAATGCATGTTCAAGAACTCATTTGTGGCAGTGGAAGCCTGTCGTACCATTCAACAAAATTGAGAGGACAATCTTGAGAGTCAGCAAATGTCATTAGTTCCTCAAAGATCCTGCATAAACTACTGGCATTATGTGGTGCTGGTCCTGATCCCAAGTTCTTCTGTTTAGTGCTAGAGTATAGTAGATATGGGATCCTTATGCCTCCTTACTGAAGAATCTATTGGTAAAATTGGGATTTTAGCTGTGAATAGTATTTTCTATCCGATGGTTGTACTTTCTGTTCCTTTCTGAGGCAGGTTTGCAAACAGACTTCCTGCATATCTTCAGAAGCAAATGCAATTGAGCTCTTATGATCTCTATACAGGATGCTATGGCAAATGTTACAACTGTACAAACTAAGGATAATAGTGTGAATGGTATCATAAACATTTTAGGTGAAATATTGAATGTATTAAGGGTTTTGTGCATGTGTGAGAGAGATGGTGTATTATGAATATATTCACACACACATGGTTTATTAACAAATGGCAGTACTGATCTATCCATTTGTTCCATGTGGAATGTTCATTCCTCTCTTTTTTCTAGGACTTTCTCAGTTTCCTTCTCTTTTCCTAGATCTTTGTTTCCTGAGCTATGATAACATTTTCTCTTCCAATGATTCTCAAATTATTAGGATGAGAATCATGTATTGTTCCACAGAGCATTCAGTGTTTGAAATTAGGTTGCTGTAAGTTTTTCTGGCTGTATGACCATGTATTCTCTCCCCCAGTCAGTAGAAGCCACACCTTGAAAACTCCTAGGCCATTAAATGCCAATCAAGGTAGCCAATTGAAACATTCACACCTACCTCCAATAGACAAATGTTCTTTCTCCCACCCTGGACATTCCACAGATATATAAACCCCATTTTCTTAGTTTCCAACAGACCTCACAACCTTTGAGGATGCCTGCCATAGATACAGGCAAAACGTTAGGAGAGAATACTTCTAGAAAACAGCCATACAGTCCAAAAAACTTACAGCAACATAGTGATTGCAGCCATGAAAGCCTTTGACAACACAATGTTTGAAATTGCTATTTTATTTCAAAGCTGGATTCTGGGGTTATTTTTTATACATTTTAGAAGTGTATTTATATGTTTCAAAATGTTTTTTTCTTTGTGTTTTTACAATTGGCTGGAAGGTGATACAGAAATAACGATCCCTTTTATTAAAATGGTGGAATTCCAAGGGAAGGAAAGAAAGAGAAAGCCCTGCAGTATAGTGGTAGGTGAAAAGGGATAAGTGGGCCTCCTATTTTTGGCATGATGATTTTAGAAATGTTGAGTGCTGTTGATTTATGGGACAGAAGGGAATATCTTAACATCTTAACATATGTTTCTAAGAATAAATGTTTCTGAATAAATCTTAGCAGCACAATCCGGTACATCCTAATCAGATATAAGCCCCATTGAGCTCAGTGGGACTTTCTCCCAGGCAAGCTATGTTGGGGGGGGGGGGGGTTATTTCCACATTAATACAATAGCTCCATTAAAATGATTATTAAAGAAAGATATTTATAAAGCAAGCCAGTAAATTTTGATTTGGAAAAATAAGAGCTTAAATACAGTTGTTTGTCTCAACTAGAGTATATGCACTGATTTGGCAGAATGGGTACTAATTCAATTCAATCGATCTATTGTAATTGGGACTAGTTATTGAACTTATGCCTTGAAAAATAAGTCAGTGTGTGAGTATATTCCAATCTGCATTATAGCTTCCTTCCTTTCTTTTTCTTTTTTTCTAAATGAGGACATAAAGTGGTGCTAGATATCTAGGCTAATGGTGGACCCAATGGTTGACTTCTGCTGAATTCTACTTCATCTGCCAGAATTGATTATTTCCCCCAGCTACACCAGTCCTGCAGCTTATCTGTAAATTAAATAACTTTTTCTGGAAGGCTGGGAAAAATTCTGGGTTTTTGATGGAAAGTTGTAAAATAGAAGAAGGAAGTCTCAGTTTCCACAGACAGTTATACTGAAGTTGACGGTTCTTGATCTAGGTAGGATTAATATGTGCTCAAATAAAAATTCTAGTGAGTTTTTTCAGCTGGGTAGTAATAGTATGATGAAATAGGTGTTTCTTGCATGGTTCTAATTTTCAGTCCAACAGCTGTGGCTGCATTTCAAAAAAAGGAAGGCAAAATTTCAATGAGTAGGTGAGAAGGGCAACAGGACACACAATTCAATTGCTTCTGCTCCCCATTTCTTTGTGGATATTGAAAGAGCTGTAAATATGCATTTCCAGCTGTTCTCCATGTGTTCAATGGGGTCAAAGCCACTGTCATGTACAACATGGAATTTGATTTTGTGTGTCAACAAATATTCTTTTGAAATATTTTCCCCATCTTTGGTACCTAAATATAACTAAAATATTTTCCATATCCTCAGACTTCTTGACTTAAACGTTCCTACCCAGATGTAGTGATTTTTCTAGCAAAGTTCAGAGTTTTCTTTTGTGTAGTGTTTTAGGAAACTGAGCTGAAGAAATGATTTTGACTATCGTGTAAACAATTACATTTATCACTTAGGTGCATGTAAGGCACTTCTGTGAATTGGGCCCTTAGAACAAATGTATTTTGATCTAGTGGCCATCTGCTCATGAATATCCCATTTGTTAGTTTAAAAAATAGTCTGATTGTAATGAACACGTAATTTGGTAAGATTATGTCATTTCACCAGGTGGCATCACAATAGCAAAGTTTGATGTTTATGTGAGCCAGTAATCAAACTGGATATACCATTGCCTGATTTATGCATATCACTTTTCAATATTCCTCTCTCATTCTCTTTTAGTTTGAGATGCCAACTACTTTTGGCAGGATTGTTTTGTGACCCCTGTGTCATAGTTTGCTAGGAGGCAAAATCCTATAGACCAAAAAGGAAGCAAAATTCCGTAGCCAATTGCCACCTTTTGTTTCACAAATTCTATGTAATTTTAATGTACCTTAGTGCAGAAACATAGAGAGGGTGGGGAGAGAGCAAGAATTTTAAAGTAAGAGTTGTGATATCAATTTAATGGTTTCAACAGAGGCAGAACTAACATGCAAAGAATACGGACAGGAGCAGTTCAACATGTTTCGGAAAACGTTTCATTCAAAACTAACAGTATGCACATGTGAATTGAAATAACCATGAGCCTTGCATAAGTACACAAAACATTCCAAATCTTCTTGAGAGCTCTTGAAGGCTTTTTCCAAAATGCATCCCAGCGACTTCCACTATTTCTGTTTTGTTGACCAAACACATAAGCTTTTTTTTTTTTTAGCAAGCTGAGGGGTACCTGGAGATGAGGCTGGTTTCCCAATTCTTTCTGTTTTGTTGTTCATGCATGCTTAGCAAGGGATTCTGAAGGTAGATGCTTTTTACATTGCCTGTTGTAGGCATGTGCACACTGCCACAGTAGCATTGACTAGAACAGAATCCCATTCTTCCTCCAAGCCTTATTGCATTGATTATTGCAAGACACACCAAATGTTTGTTTCTCCAACATTTTTTCATTATCCTCTCAATACTGCTAAAGAAAATTCACACTAGGTAAAAGAACCAGGAGGAGTAAGGAGCTGCACACACATGAAAAGAGTTTGTAAAAAGGGGCTTTTTTGTCAGGGCTTTGTTGATGGGGATATGCTTCTGTTTCCATTTGGTGCAATTAACCATAATGTTTTGACCAGATGGAATAGATCATACATCTATCTATTCTGAAGTAATTCTCATTATTTTCAAGGAAACATTCTTCCAAGAAAATGCAGTATCAATGGATTGCAAGCTTAGTGATAACATTGCATTCTCAACAATTTTAAGGCTATATATGCACCCATATCCTATCTATATATGCACCCATATCCTATGTATGTAATTTAAAATGTATGTGTGAAGAGAAGGGGAAAAAAGTAGACAAGCTTTAAAAGTAGCTTACTGTTTTTCAGTGAAATAGGAATAAACTATGCAATAGCTGTTTGGCACATGCATATGCTTCTCTTAGGGCAGGCTTAGATGTCATGATAAACTATTGTTCATCGTGACAGAAATAAGCCATAAAGAGGTGCACCTATATATTCTCCTTTTATTAGTCATTGTGAATATGGTTCAGACATTAGTCTACATGGCTGAGCGTGGGGGTGGGAGAAAGACATGCAAAAAGAAGGATTTGCCTGTTAAATTGTCAGATAGGGGCAAGTGGAGACAGAGAGAGGTATGCATTTGAAATAGAGATTTAGCTAATTGGGAACTGAGGTTGTAGTGAAGAGTTGAGGAAAGAATTGGATGAAAGACGGTACTTTAATATTACACAGGCTAATGTGTTGTGTGCCTTCAAATTGCTTCTGGTTTATGGTGAAATTTGCTTGGCAATATTTGTTCAAAGGGAATTTACCTCCGTCTTCCTCTGAGGATGCAAGAGAGTGACTTAACCAAGGTCACTCAGTGAATTTCCATGGGTGAATCCTGCTTTCCAAAATCATAGTCCAATGCTCAAACCACAGACTGAAGTTGAATATACTCCAATTTATCATAAGTTGTATAGTAAGTTCTCCTTAATGGTGAGCACACCATCTCACATTGACAACTAACCATTGTCCAGTTACTCCTATTATTATAGATGCTTCTTCATTTTTTAAAACCTAAACCTCCCATTCATTTATTGTAACCCCACTACTCCAGTTCAGAGGAGGACAGTTGACATAATTGTGGGATCTACTTGCTTTTTCTAGAATCTACAGTGTCCACTATCACAAATGATGTATCTACTCTAGGATTACATACAATAAATGAACTGACCCCTTTCCACGCAAGTCCGCTCTTGATCCCCCCCCACACACACACACACATGATTTCAGCAGGACCAAAATTTACAAAGTGAAAGTGATTTTGTGGCTGCCATTGTAAAAACATTGGGAGGCTGAGATCATAATGTTTCTTCTACCCATCTCTTTCTAGTTTGAATAATAATAATAATGCTTTCTATTGTTCCATCTAATTTCTGCTTCTATTTTTCTAGTAATTATATTATTTTCTAGTTTTATTCATTTATTTATTTACTTCATTTATATACCACTTTTCTCCCCCAGGGGGACTCAAAGTGGTGTCCAACAAGTTCACGGCAAAAATTCAATGTCTTACAACATATAAAAAACCTAGTATAAAACAATGGTAATATATAACTATAAATTAAATTAAACCATATTAAATAGAGAAACAACAACATCTAGACATTTAAACATGGAATTGAAACATATTAATATAAAACATTAAAATCACATAATCCAGAAGCTGAAGTCCGAGGCCTTTCCAAAAGTCAATTGCACATAATCCTGTACATTTTTTGCATTGCTACTGCCCAAAGGCTTGGTCCTACATCCATGTCTTTACTTTCTTTTGTTCTATTAATAATATTGCAAAGCTATAGGGGTGAGTGGTTAGGGCACTTTTTATCTGACCTTGAATTAAAGATTTTTCCAAGAGAGAAATCATAATGCTACTTGTATTTGTGTTGTGTAAAAGGTATATTGTTATTCATTGAAACAGAGCTTTATCATCCTTTTGTAAACAGAATTTACACTTCCATGAAGCATAACATGTTAGATTGAACCCAGACAGATTTGCATTCAAACCCTGTTTTTCACTCAATGGTCTTTATTTGTTTACCAGCTTGGGTACCCGGTGATGCCCAGGTTATTTGCAAAAGTCATATTTTATTTTATGAATTGTCCCATTAAGAAAATGTATAAGGTTGTGGGTGAACTACAGCTCACATCATACCTGGTTAACCCACTCAAACTCCATCAGTACTCAAAGTTGGTCATGTTGGGCATGTGTGAGAAGTTTGTTCTTGATGCAATATTGGTGGGGTTTAGTGTGCTCTCCGGCTGCTGGGTGAACTACAACTCCCACCATGGTGGGTCAGTCCCCTCAAGCCCCTCCAGTAGGTTCAGTTGGGCATGGAGGTTCTGTGTGCCACGTTTGGTCCTGGTCTATTGTTGGTGGGGGTCACAATTTCTATGGATGCAGTTGAACTACAACTCCCAAAAAATCAAGGTCAGTCTCCCTTTCCCTCCCCCAAACCTTGGTGGTATTCAAATTTAGGCATTTCAGGTATGTGTGCCAAGTTTGGTCCAAATCCATCCTCATTTGGTTTCACAGTGCTCTTGATGTATGTGAACTACAACTCCCCCAAATCAAGGTGAATTTCCCCCAAAACTCTTACAGTATTTTTTGTTGGTTATGGGGGTTCTGTGTGCCAAGATTGGTCCAGGTCCATCATTGTTGGGGTTCAGAGGACTCTTTGATTGCAAGTGAATTATAAACCCCAATGCCTACAACTCCCAAATGTCAAGGTGCCAAGTTTGGTCCAGATCCATTGTTGTTTGGGTTCACAATGCTCTCTGGATGTAGGTGAACTACAACTACTATAAATCAAGGTCATTTTCCCGAAAACCTCTCCAGTATTTTTCACTGATCATAGTTGTTCTATTTACCAAATTTGATCCAGGTCCGTTGTCGGTGGGCGTCACAGTGTTTGTCTTGATGCAGGGTGTATTACATAATGTTGAGCCAGTCCCCCAAACCCCTCCAGTATGTTCAGTTGCTGATCAATCCCACTCTGTTTGCTGTGTGGAATAGAATAGAAAAGAATAGGAAAGGGTTATGGGAGAGGCAGTAGATGGGATCATGTAAATTCCATACCAGTGGAGACAGTAAGAAACACTTGAGATGTCAGTGGTTGAGGAAATCCAGGATTGTCCCCGTATGAAAGCATTCACTTGGGTCGTGGGCAGTATTGTGTTTGTGGAGGACATTGGCAGGGGTTGACATCTCTTGTAAATGTTCATGGCATTCTCTATAACCTGCAATGGCATTGGAGGGAGGTCTTTTGATGGCTTCTCATAGGTGGGGGTCATAGTTGTCTGTGGATGTGGGAGCCTGTCTGCGGAAGTGAGAGCTCCAGACACATTCATATATGCATACATACTTTCACTTTGTAATAGATAACAGAGATATAATAGATAATAGATAGATAATAGATATATTTATTTATCAATTCATTCATTCATTCAATGCATATCATGCTTTATTTCAAAAATGGTTCCCAAGATAAGAATAATAAAATTTGATAAAATGAGAATTACAACTGAAGCATGAAACTAAATGCAATTAAAACCACAAGTATAAAAAGTAGCACTCAACTAGTTGGTTGTTGTGATAATAAAATGACAGGATTCCTCAGTTTAGAAATGTGATAAACAAGTAAATAAATTAAAGGCATAATCCTGTTATGAAGTCATACAACCCAATTAGTTAGAATGAACCTGTGCTAGGATATGTGGTTAAAAACCGGATTCCTAGTTTCATATAGATCAGGTTATTCTATTAGTAAAACATTAATCCTGTTGATAAGTTCAGTTTTAGATGCATTTGAAATGCTGTACATGAATTGACAGGTTGTGTATATATATAATGAACTAAAATAACAGGGAATTATGCTCTTGAATATGAGCCTGTTACATATATAGTGATAACAATAAAAGAAGTAATCTAGCAATGTAAGAAAGTTTGTATGTTTTGTAATTTTGTTGTGTTCTTTTTCTATCTCAAATTTTTAGCTTATGTTCCTGAGGAAGAACTGAAAGCAGCAGAAATTGATGAAGACAACGTGGAGGATGATGGGTTACCCCTGGACATCCAGGAAACAGAGTACATGTGCAATGATGAAACAGAGATCAAAGAGGCTCAGAGTTACCAGAACTCCCCTGTCAGCACAGCAACAAACCAAGATGCAGGTTACGGCTCACCATTTAGTGAAAACAGTGATCAACTGGCTCTTTTCAAAAGCACTTCCTCCAAAGAAGAGAAGGAAGATCAGTGCTCGGACAATGCTTCCTACCCACAGGACAGCTTGTCACAAATAAAAGCTGTATATGCAAATTTATTATCAGAGTCTTGCTGGTCCAGTTTAGCCTTGGATTTAAAGAAATCTAAGAGTAATGAAAACAGTCAAAAGGAAAATACCACTAACAGCAACAGCCCTAGTAACAACACCCCAAGTACATGCACCAATACCAACACTAGTACCACTACAAGTATCAGTAGTACTAGCAGCAGTAACAGCGGTGGCTCAGGTTATGACTGGCATCAAGCAGCATTGGCCAAAACTCTGCAGCAGACCTCATACGGACTTCTCCCAGAACCTAGTCTATTCAGCACAGTACAGCTTTATCGGCAAAACAATAAACTGTATGGTTCTGTGTTTACTGGTGCCAGTAAGTTTCGGTGCAAAGACTGCAGTGGGGCATATGACACACTGGTGGAGCTCACAGTGCACATGAATGAAACTGGACATTACAGAGATGACAACCGAGATAAAGACGCTGAAAAAACCAAACGGTGGTCAAAACCCAGAAAACGATCACTTATGGAAATGGAAGGCAAAGAGGACGCCCAGAAAGTGCTGAAGTGCATGTACTGTGGCCATTCTTTTGAATCCTTGCAGGACTTGAGTGTCCATATGATCAAAACAAAGCATTACCAGAAAGTGCCTCTGAAGGAGCCAGTACCAGCCATCACCAAACTGGTGCCTTCTACCAAAAAGCGAGCACTTCAGGACTTAGCTTCACCTTGCTCACCTGAGCCAACAATTGTCACTTCGGAGTCCACACTTAGTGAGGCTGCAAAGGATCAGAAAACTGCCAACCCGTATGTGACTCCAAACAACCGCTATGGCTATCAAAATGGTGCTAGCTACACTTGGCAGTTTGAGGCCCGCAAAGCCCAGATACTAAAGTGCATGGAATGTGGCAGTTCTCATGACACTTTGCAGCAGCTGACTGCTCACATGATGGTCACAGGACATTTTTTGAAAGTCACTAATTCTGCCTCCAAAAAAGGAAAACAGCTTGTACTAGATCCTGTAGTAGAAGAAAAGATACAGTCTATACCTTTACCACCCACCACCCACACAAGATTACCAATTGCAAATGTTAAAAAGCAGCCTGATTCCCCTGCTGGATCTACAACATCTGAAGAAAAGAAGGAGCCAGAAAAGGAAAAAGTAGTTGTTGCTGAAACAGAGAGAAAAATTAAAGAAGAGAATGAGGATTCTGCAGAAAAATTTGAAGCAACAACTGTGTATCAGTACCTCAGAGAGGAAGATCTAGATGAAAGTCCTAAAGGTGGGATAGATATCTTGAAGTCTCTGGAAAATACAGTGACAACAGCTATAAGTAAGGCTCAGAATGGGGCCCCATCTTGGGGAGGGTACCCCAGCATCCACGCAGCGTACCAGCTTCCAGGGACTGTTAAACCCAGCCAGCCAGCTGTACAGAGTGTTCAGATGCAGCCATCTTATGCGAGCAGTGTAAAATCACTGTCTTCAGAACACAGTGCACTGATCCATTCACCAGGTAATCTAACACCTCCGCCTCACAAAAGCAACGTCTCTGCAATGGAAGAACTAGTGGAGAAAGTTACAGGCAAAATCAGTATCAAAAAAGAAGAAAAAACTGTGGAAAAAGAGAAATGTTCTCCAGTCAAGCCATTGTCACCCGCTGCTAAGGAGAACAAAGATTTCCCTAAATCTGAGGAACCCAAGCAGCAGCCACAGCCACTGCCGCCAACACCAAAAAAGAGTCCAGAAACAGAGGTTCAGAAAGTCAAAAAGGATGGTCCAGCAGATTCCCCTGCACTTAATGGTACTGAGCCACCTAAAACAAAAGTCACAAATGGTTGTAATAACTTGGGTATCATCACAGACCATTCGGCGGAGCCATCTTTCATTAACCCCTTAAGCGCTTTACAGTCCATTATGAATACCCATTTAGGTAAGGTTTCTAATCCCACAAGTCCTTCTTTGGATCCATTGGCCATGTTGTATAAAATTAGCAACAGTATGTTGGACAAACCCATTTACCCAACAACTCCGGCCAAGCAAGCTGATGCTATTGACAGGTACTATTATGAAAACAGTGATCAGCCTATTGATTTAACCAAGTCCAAAAACAAGCCTCTGGTTTCCAGTATGACTGATTCTGTCTCATCTCCTCTAAGGGAAAGTGCCCTCATGGATATTTCTGACATGGTGAAGAACCTCACAGGGCGTTTGACTCCCAAGTCTTCAACTCCATCTTCTGTTTCAGAAAAATCTGATGCAGATGGAAGTAGCTTTGAGGAAGCTCTGGATGAACTGTCCCCAGTACATAAGAGGAAAGGTAGACAATCTAACTGGAACCCTCAGCATCTTCTGATTCTTCAAGCCCAGTTTGCTTCGAGCTTGAGGGAGACTCCTGAAGGCAAATACATTATGTCGGACCTAGGCCCTCAGGAGCGGGTACATATCTCTAAGTTTACTGGTCTTTCCATGACCACAATTAGCCACTGGCTGGCCAATGTGAAATATCAGTTAAGAAGGACAGGTGGAACTAAGTTTTTAAAGAATTTGGATACAGGTCATCCTGTTTTCTTTTGCAATGATTGTGCCTCTCAATTCAGGACTGCTTCTACATACATAAGTCACTTGGAGACACATTTAGGGTTTAGTTTAAAGGACCTGTCCAAATTGCCACTAAATCAGATTCAAGAACAGCAGAATGTTTCAAAAGTCCTCTCAAATAAGACTTTAGGCACACTTGGAATTGCTGAGGAGGACTCAGGTTCAACATTCCAGTGTAAGCTGTGTAACCGAACTTTTGCAAGCAAGCACGCAGTAAAACTGCACCTTAGTAAAACACATGGCAAGTCTCCCGAGGACCATCTGATTTATGTAACTGAGTTAGAAAAACATTAGTGTCCAGGTAAGCAGCCAGGTATGCAAGTGACCACAGGAACATTGCACTAAACTTCTTCATAGTACTGCACTAGGCCTGACCTGAGCCTCTGAAATCAGTCTTACTTTTGTTGCTGAACTGCCTATCTGGACCTTGGTTTTTCTTACATACATTTTGTAGTTATATTTATATGCTCTTTGTCTGATCTGTGCATGTTTTTTTAAACCCTCTTTTCTTTTCTTTCCTTTTTCTGTGAGTCAAAGTCTGACCTTTATTTTCAACATCTGTCCTTGATGTTAACCTATCTTTTGTAGAATATAGTGGGAGACACTATTGAGAGACGTTAATTTAGCCGTAAAGAAAGGCACAAAGAACAATAACAAAAAGACATCCTAAAATTACAAAGTTGCCATGACAATAAAGGTCACAGAACCCCGTAGTGTCAGTTTTTAACCCTCTGAGGACTGTAATAGCATCCTGTGCCTTTCCCAAAAGAAGATTTTAAAGGCATTTTATCCTAATAGAGCTGTGTCAAAAGCAAAATATACATGTAATAATTTTTAAAATGTCATAATAGACTTTAAAACGCAATCTTACTGTTAAGAATAGGTCTATGCAGATCTAGAATGATGATGAAAATCTATCAAGTGCTCAAGGGGTTAGAAAACCACAACTACATTAAAAAAAATAGAAATAATAACCCATATTGCCACAATGCCCAAATGCTCAGATGCTGAAAATTGCCACGTGGTTGGCAAAAAAGTATGCAAGTTATTTAAAAAATGTAAAAATACAATTTCTTTTTCCTGTAAAATATTGCAGTTTATAATTATTTACAAATGTAAGCTTTGGTACAAGCTGGCCTTTCTATAGTGTGCTGCACTGGTACAAGAAAATGAAACAAATGAAAAATGAGGCAAGTGTTGGATTCAGTTCCTTGTAAATTGCCAGCATCAGCATAGAAAAAAAAAGTCCATGTTACATATCGTACCATTTTAAACTGTTCAACTTCCTTTCTACCTTCTGGCTGTATGCTTTCTCTTTTAACTTTTTATATTGTCATTTTATATTCAATTTCTGTGTATATAATGTAAAACCACACTTTTTTGAATAAAATTTAGTTCCTGCAGCTTGAGTTAAATAGAGAAATTTTACTGGCACCTGCATCTTCCCAGATGCATGTACTCAAAGGAACTATCTGACAAAATAAATAAATAAAAATAAAGCAAGCAATGCACTATGAATTATACATTTTGATGTTTTATCATTAATATTGTACAGTACATTTTTTTGGTCGACACAATTAAATCCACTGTTTTCTCAAGTGTAAAATAAACCCACAAGAAGTTCTTGATTTATGTATATTGTTATGTCATTACTTTGCCTTGAGGTCTTCATTACAGAAGTGAGAGGTTTCAGCACGAGAGGATGCTTGGAATCATTTGTGTATTTTAATGTGCTGTATTCTGTTGTTTATGTATTAGTAATACCTCAAATCATTATTACAATGGTTTACAGATGCTGATATACAAAATTAGGAACCATGGTGCCTATTAGAAACAAGCATTTGTTTCATATCTGAAATGTAACTTTTATCCCTGAAAATTCATGTAACTGCTGGCTTTTGATTTGTTTTAGCTGTATGAAAGCCACTAACAGATACCCAGTGTTCTGCCTGGATGCCATTTGTGAAGATGGCTAGTTGCCCCATTGCATCCCTTCTGAAGGCTAAAGGCTACGACACATCTACACTAAACCATTATCCTGTAAGGGGAGGGGAAATCAACTTTGTAGTAGTTAAATGACATATGGAGCTGATTTGGATTAGTCCCACCAATGCTGCTTAACAAGGCATTGCACTACATTAACAAAAGTCATGATTTGCTCCAACATTCTGAGATAGAACTGGCCATAACTGTTTACATGGCCATGCTATATTTCTCGGACTTGGACAGCCCCCCTCCCTATCCTGCTCCCATTCTTGTTGCCACAGCAGCCAGTGAGTACAACATGGCTAGTTATATCCCTATTAGGCTGGAGTTATGCCAGCCAGGGAATGAGGGGGATCAGAGAATGAAGGGAGGGAAGGAGGGGGCGATTCCACCTCTCACCTTTCATATGTTGCTCAGGCATCCTGGCCAATATCACTTCTGGTGGCAAATGACGGATACAAGCCACATTGTGCTCACCAGTTGCCACAACAAGGAGAAAAGAAGGATGGCCAGGACTCCCTCCTGCTCCCATAATGTCTGTGTGAAGGAAAGGGGTGGTCAAAATCATCCCGGGGCATTCTGGCATTTAGCACTTTGGATCAGCCCTTGGATAAAGGGTCTGTGTAGTGTCAACCCCTAGCCCCCCCCCCCTCCCAGTTCATTTTGCATGAAAAGAGAGATGTCAACCACAATTCTTGCAATTTTCACCCTCTTGGAAAAGATCTTTAAATATTTATCTTTAGATATTTATCTGTCTACTGCTTGGTACTCAAGGCAGCAGCAAGTGACTTGTCCAGAAGCCCTGTGCCACACCTCAGTATGGACTGCTGGGTCATCTAATTCCTAACTATTAATTTAGAGGCAGTAGTTCACAGTCAGATAATCAGGGACTCTTCTCACATTACCCTTGCTTCTCCTGTGTCTATGAAAAACCATATATACAAAGAGAGCTCAATGAACAGTAAGACTACAGAAGCTGCTAAACATTTTTTTATGAACTGGTTGCTCATGTAACTAGCACTTGTATTTAAAGATAGAACTATACAGGAGCCTTTGCATTTAAGAAAAAAATAACTTGTATGAGAAGTAGCTTGAAGAATTTGATTCTTCCAGTGTTTTTTTTTTTTAAAAAAAAAAACTGCTGAGAGTGCCCTAGTTATGTGGCCCACTTCAGGGCTTGTTGATAAAGTACATTTGAAAAAGGCAGGTTTAGCAGTTCCTAAAGGTGCTTGATTTTGTTAAGTTTCACTACAGAGAATAACTTTTAGGTTCCTTTGCCCCAAGTCATGTACATTTCTGCTTACATCTTAGGGTTGCCTAGTTCAGCATAGTACAAAAAAGAGAGTTAAACTCTCCCTGTCATATGGTTCTGACTGTGTATTCTGTGAGTGCATATATTAAAACTAATTCCACAAGTTCTGTCTTCACACAAATTTAGGATATTCACTGCTCCCTCTCAAGACAATACACACAGAAAAATAATGCTGGTGTATTGTTTTGTTGTTGTTCATTCGTTCAGTCGTCTCCGACTCTTCGTGACCTCATGGACCAGCCCACGCCA